TTGAGATCCTCGTGCGGTAAGTAACCTCATCTGCTCAAAAAGCTCAGCTAGCTGTTGGGCCACCAAGTCATGGCCTGCTCCGACCTCATTCACTACCGCTCTTTTGCCTCGAGTGCTCTTCTGCGACGAGTTCGTACTCATCGTCTCAAAAATTTCAAACATCTCCTCGGTTGTCCTTGCTCCGATATCACCTTCTGCAGTATTGTTGACCATATACTGCAAGTTCTGGTGGATGGAATCGTAGAAGTAGTTCATGAGTAGCCCCAGAGAGAGGTTGTGATGGGGGCACTGCCGCTAGAGATCCTTGAAACGCTCCCAAGCCTCATGGAAAGACTCATTCGGTAATTGAGCAAATGAGACGATCTGTGACCGAAGCTCCTGGGTCTTTTGATGAGAGTAGTACCTCCCAATGAACTTCGAGTACACCTCGGTCCAAGTGGTGAGAGAGCCAGGTCCAAGCGTCATGAACCAGGCCTTGGCCCGGTCCTTCAGTGTCTCAGGAAAGAACCTCATCTTCAAATGCTCGTCATTAAGCCCACTGAGAGGGAAAGTGTTGAGGACATTGTAAAATTCTCGGATGAAGTTGAGCGGGTCCTCACTGTGGAGCCCGTGGAATGCTGGTAGCTGGTTGTAATGAATCATTTTGAGTTCATAGTTCCGTTCAACATCCGGCAAACTAATGCATGAAGTGACTGGCCCGATAACCAGTTGGGCTAAGTTTCGGAGGGTGTTACAAGGAGCTTGTTGTTGTTGTTCACCCATGTCGAAGTTGCTGCCTTTGAAAGATTTCAAAGAATGTTTGTCTTCTTCGTGTGAGTCGAGAGTAAACTCTTCTAGTAGCTCTCTCAGGCTCTCGTTGAACGGTTTGTCGATAGGAGATAGTACACGTCCACTCCTGGTACGCATACACAAAGACAAAAGAAACTGTCACGAGCATCAGATAGACAAATAATTTACCTAAAGAAAAACAAGCAACGAAAAACAAGAACTATTAACAAAAGAAACAAAG